CAGGGACCCTGGCCTGGCCAAGGGTGCAGGGACACGGACTGCCTCTGTAGCCGGAGTTACAGCCTTATCAGAGTCTTTTTTTGAGCCTCTTGTAGCTGGCAATCAGAAGGCCTCTTTGGCAAGTCTTTCTCCACAGCTCTGCCCGTTCAGGCACTTAGACAGCTCCCTTGCCTGGGGTCCTTCTCTGTTGTCAGCACGTCAGGCGCATAGAGCCCCGCCCCCATTCCTATTCTGTAGATCGGCGCGTCAGGCACTTAAAGGGGCGCCCTGGGTGGGGTCCTACTCTGTAGTTCGGTGCCTCAGGCTTTTGATGCGCCAACTTCTCTGTTGTTTGGCTGCTGATGCTGGTGTGTGGCGGGAGAGAGACTATAGTGATGGCTCCACCCTCTAGTGGTGACTCAGCAGTATCGGCTTGCTTCCGTGGCAGCTCGGCTTTCCTCCACAGTTATTTCACCACAATCTCCTCCTTCACATCCCCTCGATCAGTCTCTCCGCAGTCAACAGCAGCCCTCGCCTGGGGATTGCTTCACAATTCCTAAACTCCGGCTCTTAGCCACTGCGCCATCTTGGGAATGTTTCTACTCACAGATCTGAGTAGACAATTGCCCCAATGTGGGGATTGGACTCCTGCTTCAGTTCCCCCACCTGTTGAGGGAGATCCAGTCCTACTAACACTCTTGTTTTCCCCCCTAGTTCCTTCACCCTCCTGAGCTTTGTGTGGTCCATATATTCTTTTTTGCTGGTCAGGCACTCCTGTCCACTCAGCTGGTGTTCTGCATGTACTTCTGTGTCTGAAGGTGTATTCCTGATGTATCCATGGAGAGAGATGTACTTCACATCCACCTACTGCTCTGCCATCTAGTTCTCCAGCACCACACATACTTTTGTATTTTCAGTTCAGTTCAGTTCATTTCATTTCAGTTCAGTCGCTCAGTCGTGTCCGACTCTTTGTGACTCCATGAGTCACAGCATTCCAGGCCTCCCTGTCCATCACCAACTCCAGGAGTTTACTCAAACTCATGTCCATTGAGTCGGTGATGCCATTCAACCGTCTCATCCTCTGTCATCCCCTTCTCCTCCTGCCCCCAATCCCTCCCAGCATCAGGGTCTTTTCCAAGTCAACTCTTCACATGAGGTGGCCAAAGTATTGGAGTTTCAGCTTCAGCATCAGTCCTTCCAATGAACACCCAGGACTGATCTCATTTAGGATGGACTGGTTGGATCTCCTTGCAGTCCAAGGGACTCTCAAGAATCTTCTCCAACACCACAGTTCAAAAGAACCAATTTTTCAGCACTCAGCTTTCTTCACAATCCAACTCTCACATCCATACATGACCACTGGAAAAACCATAGCCTTGACTAGACGAACCTTTGTTGTCAAAATAATGTCTCTGCTTTTTAATATGCTATCTAGTTTGGTCATAACTTTCCTTCCAAGGAGTAAGCGTCTTTTAATTTCATGGCTGCAGTCACCATCTGCAGTGATTTTGGAGCCCCCAAAAATAAAGTCTGACACTGCTTTCACTGTTTCCCCATCTATTTCCCATGAAGTGATGGGATCAGATGCCATGATCTTAGTTTTCTGAATGTTGAGTTTTAAGCCAACTTTTTCACTCTCCTCTTTCACTTTCATCAAGAGGCTTTTTAGTTCCTCTTCACTTTCTGCCATAAGGGTGGTGTCATCTGCATATCTGAGGTTATTGATATTTCTCCTGGCAATCTCTATTCCAGCTTGTGCTTCTTCCAGCCCAGCATTTCTCATGATGTACTCTGCATATACGTTAAATAAGCAGGGTGACAATATACAGCCTTGACCTACTCCTTTTCCTATTGGGAAACAGTCTGTTGTTCCATGTCCAGTTCTAGCTGTTGCTTCCTGACCTGCATATAGGTTTCTCAAGAGTTGGGTCAGGTGGTCTGGTATTCCCATCTCTTTCAGAATTTTCCACAGTTTATTGTGATCTACACAGTCAAAGGCTTTGGCTTTGTATTTTATGGAAATGCAATTAACATGACGCTAGATAAAAATGATTTGAAAGCTTTACCTTGCTCAATAGATTCAAAGGTGTGAGCTATTTATCTAACTATGGCTTTGAATGTCTTAATGCATAATGCCACAGTATTTAAAGTATGTCACTTTATTTTACCCATCTCTTGTTAAGAGAGAAAGTTGAGTGCCTCAAGAATTTGTAAGAATAAAGTATCTAATGTTCAGTTCAGTCAGTTTAGTTGCTCAGTCGTGTCCAGCTCTTTTTAACCCCATGGACTGCAGCACACCACGCTTCCCTGTCCATCACCAATTCCCAAAGCTTGCTCAAACTCATGTCTATTGAGTTGGTGATGCCATCCAACCATCTCATCCTCTGTCATCCCCTTCTCTTCCTGATCTAATGTTCAGTGACTTTGAAATAAGTTTGCTTCCCCTAAAACATTGTTAGCCACAGACACACTGTCAGCTTTATATATATATATATATACACATACATATATATATATTTTAAAAATCTATATTTTAATGTATATTAAAGTTTTAAAAATACATTAAAGTTTGTATTCTTCATTAAGTAGAATCCTTGAAAGGGCACTTGATGGGTTATAGTTTTGTTTTGAAAAAAATCTGGCTATGTTAAATAGAAGAACAAATAAAAAATGAAAATTTAATGTAAAAATTATGTGATTATTATCAGCTAAAACAACTGGAAGGAGAGAAAATACATGCATTTCTCTTTCATTTTTTAATGTAGTAGAGGCAAAGTTCTTCATAATAAAGTGAACCTAAAAACACGCTAGATGTTAATCAACTTCCCCTCCCCACTCTGGCTCATCCCTAGTCATTGCATGGATGAAGCACACCCTCTTCTCAAACCTCCCATTAGAGGAGAGAGAAATGTTTTATGTGTGGTAAGCAAAAAGTAAAGTTTTCTTCCTCTCTTATTTTCTTTTCTCTCCTATTGCCTCACTGTCTCAGGGCCCAGGTGCTGTAGCCAGCCCTGTGTTGTGGTCACCAGAACAGATCACCAGGAAGGTCATCCCAGCGATCTGAGGAGTGTCCCTTTCCTGAAACAGCTTTCCCAGTGCCTGCCACGCACCACAGTCTTACCACTGGAGATTAATTGAGAGGGGCATATATAAAACTCTCTATTTCCAAGAATAAGCTAAAATAATTGTATTAAATTTTTTTTATCTCTAGTACCTTGCTAAAATGTAAGATGGAGGGACTTTAAGTTGGCTAAGCAATAGAGCTGACACATAAAGGAAAAGAAGACCCAGATGATACAAATGAACCTATGTACAAAACAGAAACAGACATACAGACATAGAAAAGAAACTCATGGTTACCAAAGGAGAAAGCAGCCAGACGGATAGAGGAGGAGCTTGGGATGAGCAGATACAGACTACTATATATTGAAAAGAACAACAACATTGTCCTGTTGTATAGCGCAGGAAACTATATTCAATATCTTATAATAGACTGTAACAGAAAAAAACCTGAAAAGTGATTCAGATGCACACACACATATATATCATTTTTCTGTACACCAGAAACTAATACAACATTGCAAATTAGGTATACTTCAATTAAAAACCAAAGGCCTAGATACTGTTCAACTAAGAAGGGCTTCAGAGAGAACATGCAGACAGCAAGGGCCTCAGAAGGACAAAAGCACCTCTTTCCTTCTTTCTTTCCTTCCTTGCTCCTTTCAGCCTGGTCTGAGTAGTGATCCTTTGTGCTTAGTTGCTCAGCTATGTTCGACTTTGAGATTCCATGAACTGTAGCCCGAGAGGCTCCTCTGCTCATGGAATTTTCCAGGCAAGAATATTGAAGTGGGTAGCCATTCCCTCCTCCAGGGGATCTTCCCAACCCAGGTCAAACTCGGGTCTCCTGCACCGCAGGCAGTTTCTTTAGCCACTGAGAGACCACCGAATCATTCCAGCACATCCAGGCTTTTCTCAGTCAGGGGTTTTCTATCTTTGTAATTCTTTTGTTTTATTACCCATCTTTAATGAAAAAGTTCAGAGGATACAAAGAGACTCAATCCTGTTATTTTTGTTTTATAGCTTGATATTTTAAATTATACTAATAGAAAAGAAGCCAGAGTCCATAATCACTCGGAAAGAAGCAGGGGAGGGGAGAGGGAGCTTTACCAAGCTTGTGTCAAAATATAATGTGCTTTGAAATTTCTAAAGATGGAACATTACAGTGCACCTCACACAGCTTTATATCGTTATAATAGCTGATTCTTTTCAAAATATGCTTTCTAAAGACTTCTTTTTAAGCACTTTTTCTTTAATGTCCTTTCAGAACTCATACTGAGCATTATTATATATTTTACAGACCCTAGTATACTTCTCTGTCTCAGAAAAACATAGTTGATATAATGGAAATTGAACACTAAGTGAAAATTGTGGGAAAGTCTCATTTTTGTCCTGAAATGTGGAAGCTGTATGGTATATTCGATGGGTGAGATGCCTTTATTGGCATAGTTAGTGCCCTATATTTCTGATTCTGAGTGTTTTACATTTATAATCATCACAATGACCAGTAAGGCAGGCATTGTTACTGTTCCACTTTACACAAAAGGAGACAGAAGGGTTGAATTGTTCCACAACCACAGAACTAGGGTTTGAACTTTCAAGCAGTACAGAATCATGGTCAGAAGCAATATTTTATGTCACGTCTTTGGGACAACTTTGTGCACATGGAGAAAGGACTATTTGAGGATGAGTCTTATTTCATAAAGAGCTTCCTCTGAAGTGAACAGAAATGTGTTTTTTTATTTAACTCTATCGGGAAAGGTGAAATACAAAAATAATGGGTTGGAGTCTATCATTAGTCTCTGATATACATGCTGATTTGTCACACTTCCTTGATGTTTCCTTAGTTCTTATATAAATATATATTAAATTTATAATAATTATTATTTATTGATTTATTTATAATAAATTATTAATAAATAATTATTCAATAAATATATTAAATAAATAAATAAATAACACACACACACACACACACACACACACACATATATTATATATATAGTGGGACCCAAGTTTGGCTCCTTCAGCCCAGCCCTGTGTTTTGTGTTTTGTGTCTGGACCTGGTAGAAGGGCTGAAGAACTTCCTAAGAAAAGACTCCTCACAGGCGGACAAGATACTTAGTTAAAAAAAAAAAACAACAACTTTGGCTTTCAGCGGAGAGGGACAATTCCAAATTCAGCAGGTGATCTGGCTTCATCCTTTTATCTCCTGACTCAGGTGCTCATGCAGTCAAGTCCACATTCAACAAGGGAAGTGGGGCTGCTTCAGTAGGAGGTTTGTGAGACAAGCCCATGAGGAATGCTTCTTTGGTTCTTGGTTTCTGGGAATGAGGGTCTCTCTCTGTTGGGTGCAGAACCCCATGTGACGGGATGATGAGTCTGGCACGTGCTGCTGCAGGCACCTGCAGATGATCACATTGGTGGTGCTGCCCCGGGATGATGACAGGCTGCCCAATCAGAGCTTTCAGCAAGGACCACCTCTTGCTTCAAATTTTGTTTCACTTTACTGAAATAGACAGGCTCTTGGCTCCGGAACACTGGATTAGTATGGTGGTTAGAAGTGGTGGCTTTGGAATGAAAAGATGTACATTGGAATCCTGGATTTGCCACTTTCCACATATGTGACCACAGGTATGTCACTTAACCTCCACTAAACATATCACCCCAAGCCTTAGTATTCTTATCTACAAAATGGGAATAGTGAGAGTTTGTACTTCACACAATGGTTGACTTACGTTAGGTACTAGCCAAGAGGCCGAATTGAGGATGGTATGTGGATAACAGCATAGCTATTTAGATGACAATATTTATTTAACTATTTAAAATGAAAATATTTAAACATTTAAAAGCCATTCTTATATACATGGCTTGTGGGCCATACATGCAATGGGCCAGATTTGGCTGCTGGTACTTTTTGACTACTTTATTAAATGAATGAATTACCTTAATGCTTGACACATCTGAGGACTAGTTCATATGACTACCGTGATTACTTAAGGCTCTTTTATTCAAGTAGAGGGAATCTTAAAGGCTAATTCAAAGGCTAACTCAAGGTTAAATTATGGATGTTTTAATGACAGAGAATTTTTATTTCTTAGCAATAGAACCCTATTCCCTCAAATCTAGGCTGGGATTTTTTTTTTTTTTTGGAATGATGGTTTTGATACAAGTTCTTGTTTTGATACAAGTCCCAAGACGGAGTCTTAAGAAACAATAGATAACATGACTTTTAAGGTGGAAGAGAACAGCTAACTTCTGATTTCCTTTCCTTTTCTTTCTTTCTTTTTATTTTTTTGTGTGTAACTTGTTGGGATTTCCAAACTGAGAATGGATTGGAAAGGGACCTTGAGAAAAGAATAAATGTAGATTAAATACAATTTTAAAAATTTTACACTGAAAAAATTTCCCTGTTTTCCCCAAAAGTTACCCTATTTGCTCATGTTTCGTTAAGCTGGATCTCTTTTAGGGTGAGAAAACAGAGAATGTGAGAAGGGTCTCATTATGGACACAGGGCAAACCACAGCCAAGTGTGCAGTTTGGTCACCTGTCTGATTTTCATGCGGTTTAGTTCATTTATGAGAACACAGTTTAGCAGTCAGATAGAACTGGTTCTAACTAAAATTCCAGATTTTTTTTTTTTTTTTTACTTTTTAGTTGGCAGTACAAGTTGGGAAACTTTTCTTGACTTTTCTCAGTGTTAGTAGCTTTATTTGAAAACTTACTGTTTTGCTTTAGGAATAAATGAAATAATGCCTATAAAGTATTTAGAACTGAATCTTCTAAGGATGTCCTTGAAGGGCTAATTATTATTGTACATCTTGGTGTACACTGGGAGACACTACTGGTGGGGGCTGCAGGTACTCAGGCCAAGCACCTCCGCTGCGGCAAAGGCTGTGGACTCTTTTGGAGGAAGTCAAGGCAAGAAGAGTACAGTGGCATAAAAGTCTCAGTGATGAATGCTTCTGCAACTCTTCTGTTAAAGTCGCCTCAAAAGCACCTGAGGACCTGTAGTCCTGGGCACTTGTGGAGCAGGTCCAAACAATCTTATAGGTGGGGTATTAGGTAAGAAGAGGATCCAGGTCTAGACTTGGCTGATCACCCAGAAGTACTAGTGATGACCAGTAGCACTTGTCTATTGAATCTTGAGGATTAGACAGTTCTCTGGGATTGGGGCATCCTACATATTGAAGAGAATTTAGCAGCATCCCTGGCTTCTATCGGAGAGCTGCGAGTAGCGCCTCCTCCAAGAGGGAAAACTGAACATGTCTTATTAGCTAGGTAGCCTAACGTCCCCTGGGGAACAAAATCATCCCTGGTTAGGAACACCAATCTATGTAGACAGTTTTAATCTTCTCTAAGGATTTTCGGAAATAACTATACTGGGTGGACTTTATGGAAAACTAAAGGCCCTTCAGGAGTAGGTAGGGGACAAGCTGGTGAAACACAAGTTACACATACAGGATACAAAAGCTGAAGGCCATGCACACATGAGTAAGATGTTTAGGGCTTTTGCAGCATGTGTGATTTCTTTTCTCAGTCTTAGCATAGAATTGAGTATTCTGAAGTATTTATAAACCGCTACGTGTTAGCTGCTGAATGCCCAAAGTCTAGAAGCCTTCTAGGACCACTTTTGGCACTTAAGGCATTCACACTTACGCTCCTTTTCATAAAAACCTCGTCTCTGAGGACCAGTCCCACCCCCTGACCCAGCCTCCTTGTTTTGCTCTACCATAATACCTCTTTGATGGTTCATTTCCTATGTCAGCTTGACTGGGTCATGAGGTGCCCAGATATTTGGTCAAATACTATTCTGCACATGTCTGGGAGGCTGTTTTTAGATGAGATTAACCTTTGAGTTTGTGAGTAAAGCAGATTGTTTTTCCTAATGTGGGTGGGCCTCATCCAGTCAGTTGAAGGTCTGAACTCACAAAATGGCTCTGTTTCAAGGAAGAGGCCACTCGTCTTGCCTGATTTGTTGAGATGAGACACTAGTCCTTTTCTACTTCTAGACTCAAATTGAAATATCCATTCTTCTTGGGTCTAGAGCCTGCTAGCTTCCTAACTGGAATGTAGACTGACTCTCCTGGTTCTCAGGCCCCCAGACATGGACTGGAACTCCATTATTGGTCCTTGGGTCTCCAACCACCAACTTTAGATTTTGGGATTTGTCTACCTCTAAAATCATATGAGTTAGTTCCTTACAGTAAATCTCTCTATATACACTAAGATGTGTGTTTGTATGGTTATCTATGACTGTAAAACAAGTTATCTCCTGCATGGTATAGCATTGATTATTTTCAATTAATGTCTTCATTTGAATTTTATCAACTCAACTGGTATATCTGAACTGGGAGCATTGTCCAGCAAGAAATTTCCAGCACAAAACTTCATAAGCCTCTTTGACACTTTAATCAGTCACAGCTCCTTCTCCATACACTGCACAAATCTTTTTTTGTGTGTTTCAGCTGTGGTTTTATCTTTGTTGAAATAATAAAGTGTAATATGCCAAAAATGTTGCTTTTTTCAATATGAAAATGTCTACACAAAAATGAACCAATTTTGACAAGTTTTTTAACACATGCTGATATGACAGCTATCCTAATACAATCTAACAAAATTATTTTGGATGAAGTTAAAGACAACTAAACACTACTAGAGTCATCTTAGGGAAGAACCAAATGAAATTTTTGGCCCACTCAATATGATGTTCTTTTTCTGTAGAATCCTGTTATACAACCCCTGCTCTTTCCTTGACCAACTTCTCTGCATCTTTCCTATCTCAGCCTAAATTTTATCTCTGAATATCCTTCCCTGAATCTTTAGATGGACTGCGTGTGTGCATGCTAAGTTGCTTCAGTCATGTTCTACTCTTGATGAACCTGTGGACTGTACCCTGTCAGGCTCCTCTGTCCATGAGATTCTCCAGGCAAGAATGCTGGAGTGGGTTGCCATGACCTCCTCCCAGGGGATCGTCCTGACCCAGGGATTGAACCTATGTCCCCTGCAGCTCCTGCATTGGCAGGCTGGTTCTTTACCCCTAGGGCCACCTGGGAAGCCCTTAGAGGAACTAGATACCACTTATTTGAACTCTAGTATGCTTAGTGGTCTCTTGCCTCCACTACAGTGAAGTTTCCTCAAGGAAGAAACAGTATCTTGCTCCCTCATGTAACCCTATGACCTAGCGTGGTGTCTGGCATAGAGCTGGCATTCCTAAGATATTTGTTGAATAAATGCTTAATTTCTTGTTAGGAAATAAGCATGGCTTGAACAATCATATTTATATTTTGTTTAAAAATCTCTGTATAATTCAGCTACTACTTAGGAACAAGTACCACTTTATTAATCAAGTACCATAGAAGTCATTGCAATTTCATGAAACTTAAAAAAAAAAAAATTTAGAACCTGGTGAGTGGGAAAGGATCTAGTAATGAAGCTAAAACCTACTCTAAAATGTGAAAGTTGGAGAGGCTTTATTTCTCTTTGGGTAGAATAGTACTTTCTTCTGTATTTTTTAAAGACTGTACTTGGAAACTCCCCTACTTTATGCCCCATTATTTATTGTCCTGCTCAGCGGACTTTTTTCTTTAGAGGTCTATTTGTGCCTGGTTTGCCCTGAGGGAAAGGATGATACAGAACTCTCATCTGTCACTGTTACTATGTATTATTACTGGGGAAACGTCAAGACAAATGTCATGTAAATAAATAAAATGCTCCAGAAACTTTAGCTCTCACTGTTAGGCAGTGGGAGGGAGAAAGAGCAAATGTTTAAGTTTAAAGAGATAGACTTAATAAATAGCTGCCATTTTCCATAACATGGGAGAAAAAGAGTATTCTCCTCAAGCATGTGTAATTTGGCATCAAGGATTAATAAAATAAGATTGAGTTTGGCTCTGCTCTCTGTTTGCAACAATGGTTATTTGGTTTTATCACAGCCTGGCTGTCTTAATTCTATTGAACTGAGTGTACATAGTCAGCTATCAAGTAACA